TCCTTTGAAGGCATGTGTGGAGTCCATGACGGCGGTCACAAATTTGTCGAACCGGCTGCAGAGTAGGACAAAAAGAAAAAGAAAAAGAAAATGTAACCAATGAGAGAGAGAGGGGGTCAAAGGGGGTGGGGGGAAAAGGGGGGATGAATCATTGTTGTTTGTACAAAGTATTAGGGACATGATGTCCAACAAGATTAAATAATGTAATTTAAATGTATCTGAACAAAATTAATATACTTGCTTTAATGCTACGCTCGGATTTTTACTTATAAAAAAAATGCTATGTTTGGATCTTGGAATTACTAAGGGAAAGAAAGATGATAGGAAAATGAAATATTTTGTGCAGATTCATTATTTTATAGGTAACTAAACAAAAACAAAACTAATTTTTTTATGACAAATGTCTTCTTGTGTTTTCCTCTTATTTTGTAACCCAACAAAAGAGGAGCTTATTCCACTTCTTTTTTTTTTTTTGATTGGCACAGGGTGTCCACATCAAAGTCCAACTAATCCCCACACTTCATTATAAACTTATCTATTACTTTTCCTTTTCCTTCTCCATTCCCTCCACAATTTCAAGATCCAAACATAGAGTAGGAGAAATGTCAAAGGGATTTGGAAATGAGGTGCAGAAAGAAAGGACTCCATTGCTATTGTTATGATAAATTTCAATGGAAAAGGGATGTCATATGAACTACACAAATAAGAATTGACTCAACAATGTGGAAATGTTGTCCAAAAATGAACCGACTAAAGATAAACTAGATGCCATGTTACAAAGGAGGAAAGAATAACTGAATTTGACTCCTATCTACATTATGAAAGCATCATCATGTGTACACGCTGCAGCTACCATAAACTATGGATACAACCTTCACCTAATCACATTCTGGTCAAGCTTTTACCTACCCGAATCCAATCCCCTAATTTTGCTATCCCTGTTATTTTCATTGTCTGAAATAGTTTGAAATGGAAAATATATGAATTATTTCAAATAATTTTTGTAAAAATTAATGTATAGAGAAAGAGAGAAAATAAATTATGTATATATATTATTGATTGATATGTTGTTACAAGATTGATAAATTACAATTCCTATACAATCTATATATAGAAGAAAATGTGGTAGTAGGTGTAGTGGAGGTGATAGTGGGTTAGGTGAAGTGGAGTGTGTGGTGAAGTGGAGGTAGGTGAAGTGGAGTGTGTAGTGGAGTAGGTGAAGGTAAAGATGGGAAATTCTAACACCCAGACACCAGGAAATCCGCCGAAGTTGCCATGATATCACTCTTAACCACGCTCCAACAATGCTGGAAGAAAGCCATAGTGAAACCATCCGGATCTGGGGCTTTTCCCCACTCATCGCCCGCAAAGCTCCAAACACCTCCTCTGTAAAAGCTCGCTCCAAACTCTCCTAATCCTCGTCCAGAATCGTAGCAAACTGAACACCTTCCAGACCTGGCCGCCAAACCCCCTCTTGAGGCCGGAATAAATGCTGATAGAAACCCACTACCCCGTCCTTAATCTCTCTATCGATGTACAGCTCCCGACCATCCACCCATAACATACTAATCTGATTAACCCTTCAATGAGCATTAGCCATATGGTGAAAGAATTTCGTATTTCGATCCCCATCCTTTAACCACAAACATCTAGACTTTTGACGAAAACAAACCTCCTCCATACGGGATATACGAACAAAATCCTATCTAGCCGCCTCCTTACGAATACCGGCCTCAGTAGGCAGCTCAGCTTGCACCTCCAGCTCATCAAAGGATTGAAGTAAAGACACCACTGCAGCTTTTTGGCCCTCTAGCCGACCAAACACCTCCTTATTCCAATTTTTAAGGCCGCTTTCAACATCTTCAGTTTTTGAGCCAACACACAACTAGGAGAACCACGAACCTCGTAGCTATTCCACCAACCACAAACTAGGTCTAGAAAACCCTCATGTTGCAACCACATATTCTCAAATCGAAATGGCATAGGACCACGTCGGATCCCCCCACTATCCAATAAAATTGGCCAATGATCAGACACAGGTCGAGGTAAACGAAGCTGAACCACCTCAAAAAAGTGCTCCTCCCAGCCCACAGTAACCAAGAACTGATCAATTCGAGACAAACTCCGACCATTTGACCATGTGAAGCTGCCCCTCTGGATAGGTAAATCAACCAACTGTAAATCATCAATAAAAGAACAAAAAGCCCGCATTGCCCCCGAACTCCTGGCAATCCCCGACTTCTCCGAAGGCCAACAGACAACATTAAAATCACCCCCTACACACCAGGGGACATCCCAGCGAAAAGCTATGTTCTCTATCTCCTCCAAAAACAAACCCCGCTCGGAATCCTGCACAAGCCCATATACCCCAGTAAAATCCCATCGGAAATTATCATCCACACAACAGAACAAACAAGAGACAGAAAAACCTCCTATCTCCTCCTCCTCCCTCACCACTACCCTCTTATCCCAACAGAGAAGAACCCCACCTGCCGTGCCTAACGAGGGCAAAAAGGTCCACTCCACAAACCTCTCCCCCACACCTCGCGAATCAGCTCCACTCCCACCTCTTCCATCTTCGTCTCTTGTAAGCATACAATATCCGGGTTGGCACTCCGCAAAACCGCCTTCACCGCCACCCTTTTATCCCTATCATTCAACCCCCGCACATTCCACGATACAATTTTTATATTCATTTCAACAACAATGGGCCCCTCCGATCTCTCCTTTCACTCCGTTCTACATTCCTCACACCATGATCATAATTCACAGAACATTCCAAATTCTTAAGCTTCCGATTTCGTTTAGAAAGGGTCACCAATGAGCGAGACACTCTTGGACTGGGAGTACCTTGCCTCCATGAAGCCTCCACCGCCGCAAAAACTCGCATAGCCTCATCTTCGTGGCCTTCGAAGGACAAGCCCAAACAATGACTAACTTCACTAATTCGATCCAACACCCACTGGGACACGGCTTCTGCCGAAGGAATTTCCTTCCCCGATAATCCCCCAATATCCTCAAACCTCTGTTTTTGTTTGAAACAAGTGACCAATTCACTATCTTGCACTGCTAAGGGCTGCAACTCCAAGACCTGTGACTATCCCACACACTCATGCCCCTTCCCTCCTTGGTCAGCCCAAGATGCATCGCGAGACGTCTCCAACACCAACTGGGACTGTCGCTCAACCGACTCTGAGTCCGACGCCACCAGCAATCGCGACCCTTGTTCCCCCACCGATGGCGCACCACGTGGTATCTCTAGCTCCAGCTAGGACTGTCGCTCAACCAACTCTGAGGCCGCCGATTGAGAAGTATCTCTTTCCGACGCCACTAGCAGACGCGACCCATGTTCCTCCGCAGATGACGCATCACGAGGCATATCTAGTTCCAACCGGGACTGTCGTGCACCCAACTTCGAAGCCGCCAACTGTGAAGTGCCACTCTTCGACGCCTCTACCAGTCGCGATCCTTGTGCCTCAGCAGATATAGTACGGTGGACCACCAACTCCAGTCCGGACGGCGACACAGATCCTCGCCGATGACCCCCTAGCCTAAACGGAGCCACCCGACCCGACTCACTCAAATGTAGATCGCAGGAAGCCCTACAACCCAACCCACCCTCAGTCTGACCCACATCCGTATTAACAAGACTATTGGGCTGCTCAGAAAGGCCCAAATCACCAACCCCTTTGAGGCTTGAGAAGCCACCCCCCTGTGGGCTGGACTGATAAGCCACCGGCCTCACCCCCTTAACCACCTAGGCCCCCAAATGAGTCCCCTTATTTTTAACCACAGCCCACCTACGTTGGGCCTAGGCCTGTCTTGGATGACCCACCGCTGCCCCCACCCGCTGGGTAAAATTACCCTGAAAACCCATGGGTCGTTCCTCTCTCCTAAATCTTTGCAGATAGTCATTCACCCTCATTCTCAGCTGAAAATCCTGCCCTAGTTGCCCAAAATCCGTCGTTACCATATTCGTCACAAAATCCCCATCTTTCACGGTCACCGGCGTCCACCGTTCCACCACCGGATCGTCTTCTACCAAACTGGCAATGAAAACTGCCACATCCCCCAGCGGAAGGACACTCGCGAAGGCGTGAACTCTGAGCATCGCACATGAAGCCGAATGGAACCTAGATCCACCGACGACTCATCTGCCTCGATGAAGCCACCACAACGATCGCCGATGAAATGAAACACCGCCTCCCCTCGGAGATGAATAGGCAGACCCATCAATCGAATCCACACACTCTTCTCAAGCCGCAAAGTCTTTGGCGGAGTACAAAGAGCTAGTGGTGACCACCACTCCAGTAATAAATCACATCCTTCCACTGTCCACTGCCGTCTTAACAGCGCTTCCATCTTACCTCTACTTGACAAAACAAACAAAAATGCTTTATCCCCCAAAGGTCTTACGTCCACCTTCCCCGAATGCTTCCACCATCGGGCAACCCAATCAGAGATGGTCACGAAACTCAAGCCTTTCCCCCCCAAACCCCCCAGTTTACCCACTAGCGATCTATCCAAGATGCGAAACCAATCCACCTCCACCTCAGAGCGTACAACCCCTACAAACTCACATTCGGCAGCAGAAGTTGAAGAAACCTTCCTGAAGCCAACGGGCTGGGAGGCCTTTGCAACGCACAACCCAAAGCCATTGATAGCCAACGCCACCCCTTCCCAGCCATCATCGAACGCAGACACAGGTATGTAAACTTGTTCACGTCTCTGTCCTGTGGTGACCACAATTTGAAAAGAAATCCCCCTACCTTCCTCACCTCGTACCCAGACCGCTGTAGTCCGACTACCCCCACTGAGACGGCCCCAAAACTTGAGGCTGTTGGATTTCTTAGATGCCAACCTCATCCTGACCACCAACCAACGAACTTCCGAAACATTCAGCACCACCGCCCGTCGTAACCCCTCCCCCCTCTCAACAATCGATAACCCGCACTTCCCATCCACTCCATCGGACTCCTCAAATTCAAACGACCGGCCACCAAGAAACAAAATTCGCCGGCGTGGCCCAACTTCTTTCCTTACTGGGAACATTACCCTCCGAGAACTGCGGAGGACATTTCTAGAGAGAATTTTTTTTTGTCGAAGAATTACTTAACATGACCAACCCATACTGAGTTCTTTTCTCAACTAGGAATTTGCTTAGGCTGCATATGATTCACACACCAGGTAAACAACTGTTAAATTCCTAATGCTTAGAAGCCCTACTCAACATAGTATACAGAAACTTTAAAAGCATTAGGAATTTTAGTAGAACACTTCAGCTCTATGACAACAAACAACATTAAAAGGGAAAGTTCTTCCATTTAGAAAATGTTTGCTTTAATGCTTCTCTTACAAACTAATTGAAAATCAGAATCATGACACAAATGTCAAGCATTTCAAAATAGAGATTGAAACTCTCTTAAATCCTTGTCAATTTAGATTCATAGTTTAATATTTTGAAAAGGTGATCCCTCTTCCTTCCAACCAATTTTTGGATCATTGGTTTCATTCTTCCAGAAAAATAGCCTCATCGGGAGAGAGGGAACTAATGTAAAGTAGAATCAAAGATGACGACTCCTTCACCAGCGCAACTCCTTGTGGGGTTTGGTGCACTAAAAATAAAGAACGTGTATTTATTTCATTATACTATGCAATAAGATTGTGCCTTCCCACATCAGGTAAAGGGAAAGATGTGCAACCATTCACAGTACAGGTTGTGGCTTTCTTTTATCTATGCAAGTAAGCAAGGTTTTATTTTCTCTAATGCCACTAATTTGAGGCAGTCTTTCTAATGTGTCATCTTTGGACAATCCTCACGAGTAAGCCTCGGCAACATTTTAAAGCAATCATACCCCCAAGAACATCAACCTTTGTCTTATTTATTTACTATTTGTTTCATACATAAAGAATGGCCAACTATTTAAATTCATCTACTGGAAATAGCAAAATGATTCATGATGTTAGCATCAATTTTAGTCAGAAATAAGGACCTTCAAAAAATAACTAAAGGAATAAATAAAAGCATGAGTGTCTTACTTTGCAAGAGTAGGTAATTTGATGCATTCCCTCAATATATTTCCACAATTCAAGGCAATTTCCTTGTTATCATAGCTGCATGAAAAACACAAAAACGTTGCAGGCAGATCATACCACTTTATCATAACAACACCATTAACAACAAAATCTATGTTCGTTGCTGATCCCAAAAAGAAAAGGTAACTAGGCAATTAATAAATCATGCAAAAATCCCTACTAAAAATTGCTCGTGTAGGCCAAAAGATACTTGGGTACTTGGTTTATTGCTGATAGTAAACCGAACAATAATGAAACTTAAAGATAGGGATTCGATATTATTAACAGGATATATGCCCAGATATGATGGTTAATAATATTAAATGGCAAGAACTACACTGCCATCCAATGTAGTTCATGTTTTATGGGTTACGGAAAAGGTATGCTAAAATGTTCATTCAATTGCCAAATGATAGCAATAAAGATCATACAATTATTAACTAAGAAGTAAGAAGTAACAAGTAACAAGAAAACACTGCTTTCAAAACATTACAAATTTTCCTTCTTAATATTTGATTGAAATTTGATGGGTATAACATGACTAATGGCTATAAGCCTACAATTAGTTTTTTTAATAAGAGGGCATCTTATCAGTTTTGGTTGTCTGAGAGACTACTTCAAATTTTAACTTTTCATATCTTGTATTATAAAGCAACTTGATGTCCAAGGTTGAGAAACAATTTTTTGCCTTCCCTCGTGGAAGCACTTAGACTGTCCCCACTTTAGGACCACATAGATGCTGAAGAAAGCGGAAAGGGACCCATTCATTCATAAAGAGTTATTCCAATACCATTACACAAACCTCCACCATGCATGAGAGCCAAAAAGAAGAAGAAAAATGAACATGCAACAATTGAAGGAAAACCATTAGAGAAACTTACCTCACAACAAGAAAGTCTAGTAACTCTAAATGGTTCTCTAGATATTGCACACAGCAATAAGTGGAGTCACCCTTTTGTTTCAACAATATGGACCAACAGTGAACCAGATCTTTTCTTGCCTGTATCAAAATTACATTATCATTGTTCAAGTAGAGGCCAAACACATGAAACAGTGCTATGGATCATAATAACTTACTTCCCATTCCAATATAGGTAACTTGTGAATAAAAAGAGCAAGAACATCTTCTTTACAGATTTCAAGCGTCAACTGCGAAACCTGATCCATGTTGGGTTCAACCTCCCCATCTCCACAAAGCATAACTCTCATTGTTGCAAAGTTCTTCTCAACTTCTTCCAAAGCCTGCAAACATATCGTGAGAAAATAGTTTAACATAGATGCACAACGATTATAGTTAGTATAACACTCATACGTTCCAAAATCTTAATATAATCCAGCCTACTAACCTTGAGGTTGTGGGTTCGAATCTGAGAGTAGTCACTTTGTATAAATTATGTTAAAAGTGAGGTCTATATCAAATCTATCCTTCCAGACCCCATCTAATTTTTTTTGGGGGGGGGGGGGTGGGGGGGTGTGGCTAAAGTGGTTGTACTTTTTTTGTGGAAATTGGTGGCCTAAAATTTTAACAATTTGTGTTGATACTTTAATTTGGATCAATAGGCATTTTAACAATTTGTTTGGATACTTTATAGAGCTATGCAAACTAGAACTAATTTATCATAGCACCTTTGTATTTATTATCAAGTCCAATGCATTCTATCATAAACCCTTTCATGCTGGCATGCAGGGTAACGCCAAAAAATAAATAAACGTCACAGCAGATTCACACTATGCCAAATATGGCAATGGCAGCAAAACTTCACCAAGATGCAAATTCGCAATCTGATACGGTTCGCCACCCTTGTTTAGGTAAAAATGGGCCTACTAAGATCAGTACCCGACATTAGGCTTTATATAGATTGAGACTGGCGGGAGGGATAGACTAGTGCCTCGTTTGGTTGAGGCTATTTTTAACCTGAGAGAAGTCAGTAATTTCGTTCTTATTAGGACTTTATTCAAATTTGATCAATTCTTTTTTTTAAAGGTTTTATTATGTATAAATAAAATAGGAAGTATCTAGTTGCATACGCAAAGAAAAATACAATACAAACTAACTAACAAATTTGTCCTGAATAATGAAACCGTCAAAACTGAAACAGGATTGATATGATATATGCTAATGCAAATACGCGAGTGCAATAAGACATGTTCCCAGTACAAGTGAGAGATCTGTGCCACGGCTGCACAATTCTCAATTACACTCCGTTGATTTGCAATTTAGTTTTCCTGAATTCTCATTCATATGATATTTCCAAGCTTC